AAGTTGTGCTTTACATTTTTTAAAAAGCAGAGCATATGCTGAAAATATGCACTAAGCAGTAAACTATACAAAAAAAAGGCAAATTGCTTTTCCTCCAGCAGCAATTACTGCACACTTGAAATACCAACATTCGGCTTTGTGATTATCAATCTCAATAAACATTTAACATCTTCTACCTGTCATAGTTTAGGAGCATGATTTCACATTGAGAGCGATCTAAGCTAAATACTTACTGTTGAAATGTGGACATCTTTATTAGCAGTGTTTGTGTAGCACAACTCTGAAACACTTTCATAATTGCTGATTACACTTACTTGTTCCTGGACTCAAGGCTCTTTTAAACCATCTAACTATACATCCATCATTTCTGACTTTTCTGGCCTAGAAAATACACTTAAACAGGCTAATTATACCTCTGAATGATTGGAAATGTTTGCTCTGATGACCATAGATCAATGAGACAGACCCAACCTCTAAGATGGAGCCGGTGGTCATCAAATGATGTTTACAGCTATCCTGCTTATGACACCAGCTGGTAATGTCACTCTGGATAAATAAATACTAAGTGGGAAATAGACTGTACTTATATAGCAGTTTATCAAGTCACAGGACCTTTAAGCACTTCACACTGCATAGAGACATTCACACACATAAACACACTGATGAAGGTTCAGGATGAATTCTCAGAATTATCACTGAGAAAAAGTTTATGCCCTTTAATTTGACAAAACAAAAAAATAAAGAGGTCTTGGGTAATATCACCTAAATTTAAGTTGGTGATCTTGTAGTACAGTGTATCAGAGCAAACTTAAAGCAGGGACAGAATGTTTTTTTCTTTAATTGTTATCTGTTTTGGTGTGATCATTTTATTTAGAGTTTCCTCATTCTTCTTGATATTTAATAAGCAAGTTGTAAGAAACTCAGCCTTTCTCAATGAGACAAAACAACATTTGTGTCATTTTTCTGAGGTGTAATACTATACGAAGAAAAACTGACGTCTGGTTGCTTCCTACTAAGAAAAATTGCTTGTTATCTGAGCTGTTTTTGTTGTTGCGCCGCCACTGATCTCTCTCCCCTGACGTCACGTACGTGTTGCACTCAGGGGATCATAGCAAAGAGCTCTACTGAATAACTGCTGGTTTCCTGGAGACCAGCAGATCTGATGTTTTTTCTCTCCTGAATGGACAACAACACATCAAGATTCAAAGAACTTGTCATCAACATGTGTGGATGCAGCGTTAGGATTAAAACAATGTAATTATTATTCGATTACAGCGAGGCTTTGGTCGTGTATCTTGCTCTGATGCTTTTATAATGAGCTTATACTTATCATTATAAAATGATGCCTAACCTTAAAGCTAGAGCATATGGAGAGCTGTGGCTAAAGCCACAATGTGTTGAATAATTCACTGCTCCTGGATCAGGTTGTGTCATGATAACAGAGTGGCGAAAACTCCATAGATCACATCAGTAGTCTGGAGTCTTATTAACACCTCCTGGGGCACACTGCTTTATTCTTCTTCAAGGCACAGGAGTTACAATCCAGATGCTGGATATTAGAAAAGTGCTCATGTTTCATTTCTGATCTTTTATTGCATGGTTATTGCTGAAATAAGATTTATAGCACAAAAATATATATATTTTATTTTATGATAGGCATACAAACACACCACCAAAGAATATAAAACCATTATGTTGGCATAAAAGAACAATTATAGCTTAAAGTTTAATAACCAAGCTACTATAGAATATGCTTTACACAGCCAGAGAAAAAAAATCCCAAAATATTTGTTGACTAGACTCAAGTAAAAACTCTTAAATGCAACTTTGTGTTGAAACTATTATTTGAAAGAATATAGTATAAATAGCACCTAATAGAGACTCCAGGATCTCCTCACTGCTCAGGCTCCTCAGAACTGTGGCTAATATGATCTTTTTTTTGTGTTTTTTCCCTTATGGTCATCTTATCACAATTTCACGTTTCCTCTTACGCCATGAGAGGCCTTGTCTACATGGAGACGAGATTGGATGTACCCACAGAGGTATTTTGGCGTTTACGCTGTGCGTCCTCATGGTTTTGGCCTTTTGGGAGAAGGGAAAGAGTGTGTAAATCAAAACGCTGTTTTTTCCATGTGTCCCTGTAAGCCACGTCTTCTGATTTTATTAAGGCTTTTGTAGTGTCCTTAGATTCTTCTTTTCAAACAATCCGGCTCTACACCTGCTCTATGTTTGTGTCTGACAATCCCTCCCAGTGATCTTTGTCTTCTCCTGTGACAAAGTCAAAACAAATCCAATGGATCCAGCATGTCTACTAGGGTGTAATTAGTGTCGCTGCATCCTCTCTTGTGAACACGTTTTTCTTAATTTTTTCTTAATTTCTACAATTATTATTCTTTCCCAAAAAGCATATTTTAGGCTATAAAAAATGTTACTTTCCAAGGCACAAATGAGGCAAAAAACCTAACCCTGAGAATTGATTCTTAAGAAACAAGGCACTGCTGTGACAGCTGCTGTATGTTTGTATAAGTTGAGAGTTGTGCTCCCATTGGACATGTCCGTCAGGCTTTGGTTATATATGTCCATGAAAGTTACAGTTTTCTTATTCCTAAGGGAATTTTAATGCAGTTTTGCAGTATATATGTCAGTGTATATATCTTCTCTTACCCACCTAAAGCAACAGAGCCTGTGTCAGCAAAATTCCTGTGAGGTTCTTTATACTTTTTTGTGGAATATGTAGAGAACCAATCGTAGTTGTAAAATTGAGTTACAGAATCATAGTGAATATTTTATCTTTTTTTGAAAATCACAGCTTTTAAGTCTCTTCCAAGCTCAGAGGGAAACCTGCTGCTGTAGGAGGAGTTGCTGTCGTCTGATGTTATGGCCCCACTATAAAATGTAAACTAAAAAACAAAAACAAAAAACAGATGGGCTAAATTAAAGATGACTAATTTCTGGGTAAAAACTAGGTTCAGATGAGACATGTTTAAAAGGTATGTAGATAAAAGCAAAGTTTTTGTATTTTTCACAGATAACTCTGAAGCTGTAGGTTTATTTTTTCTTTATGTCTTACTGAAACTGCTGACAAATTATACTATAAATCCCTTTATAGTATTTTTTTTTTATTTGGCCTGCTACTTGTGTATCTCCTAATAGGGTGCTATTGCACTTTTATCACATTTGACCCGGATACATTTTGCATTATTGATGCAACCTGATCAAAATACAACTTATATCTCCTAGCAAGCGAATGCACAACCTAGAGATGTGCATGTTTCTCCCTAGCTGACTTCTCTATCTACAGTTATGCAGCGATTTTAGATGTCTATGTATAAAAGGATTTTGGTTTTTTGTTGTTTAAAAAGAAAGACTGTTTGATAAGATTTTTTTTTTTTATGAATTCAGAGCAGTGGTCAAACCCTTTTTGTATAGCGGCTTTGATAACAATGTTTACAATAAAACAGTCCTGATGTGGTGGAGGCAGGCTGTTTTGATTTTAAAGTTGTAGGGAAGTTATATTTACTATGACTACTATATATTTTACATATGTACTCTTGATCAGACTATATTGTCCCAAAAGTTAGAAAATGTCTATTTAGAAAAAAAATCCTGTCTTGAAATCTGTTTTTTTTTTTTTTTTCTGTTATCATATGTTGGCCAGTTAGTTATATGTCAGCCTGAACAGCTAAATTCGGCCAATCATATATCAACGATCATCTGTCAATCAAATTTTTTTCGGGTCATTTGTCAATCAAATTTTTTCAGTCATAGCATCTTGAAATAAGAAATAAGAATCATTTACTTTACCATTGAGTTCTGTCCCAGTGTGCGAGACAAGGGCTCTAACATGTACGGCTGTAACCCTTATACACCAAACGGAGCTTCTGCTGTCCTGGCGTCCTCTTCTACAACATCTTCATCCCCAATTTCCTCCTCTAAATAAGCAATGTATGACGGAGGTACTCATCCACAACCTCCGACACAAAACTCTCCTCCTCTTGCATGTTTCCGCTGTCCATAGCATTCCTTGACAGTGTCGTCTCTAAGTAACCAATCTAGTGCTACTTGGTTCCAATGTACTTTCCCATTGGGAACCTACTAGCACTAAGTTGCTACCTGGTTAGCAAGATGCTTCCGAGAAACCGTCCACAACCAAACTTGCTTGTGAACCTTCTGCCACAGCAATCATGCCCTCTTTATAAATGACCGATCACATTCACTTTATTCACTCATGTAAAGTCGTGCACAACTCTGGAGAAGTCGGAACTGCAAAGGTCCGAACAGCCGCTTCCCTACAACTTTAATGAAGTTCTGGCCTTGGCATATAGCCACCCTGATCAAAAAAATGTCTGACCTCTGCTACCAGGCTTCTTCGCACAACACAAGGGCTCTGATAATTATAGACAACTGTACAATAAGACTTAAGGATGATTCATTCTATAGCATCTCATTATAAAATGAGTTTAAAACCTGGTTGGTTCACATTGATGTAAGAAACACACCCTTGGCTTGCCATTTTACGCACGTATTCCACATACTTCTAAGTGTATTCATACAGCTGGATGCTATTTCTCTTTTTCTTAGGGGCAGGTTGATGGTTCAATATTGCTCCAAGAATCAGCCCCAGAAGATGGCGAGTTTTATGTTGTTGCTCAAGGCTCCAGACTTACCCACGTGACCACAGCTAAACGAGGCTGTGATGAGCACACTCTTAATTTCACCGTTCCAGGTAATTCCTGAAAGGTATTTGGATGACATCCATTGTTTCTTTGCTTCCCATCTTAGTGAACTGATATTGGATATTGGTTTTTCTTCTACAGGTCATGACCTTGTGGAAGTTGTCTCTGTAACAGCCTACATCTCCACCAATGATGGCTTTTATCCTTATGCTTGTAAATCATTTCTGGAGTACTCTAAGGATGTTGCTCAGGATGCAGCAGAGTACCTTAGTGGAAAATGGGACCGGTTTGGTCCTCACAGGTATCAGGAGGTCCTGAGGAGGTTTCCTGTGTTGGCGCAGACAGCTGATGAAGAGGACTGTGGAAGACTGTTACAGTGCAGGGAAGGAGAGACGCTTCTCGGAGGAAGTTCAGCTGATTACACTGACCTGAGGCATTTAGATGAGAACATCACTCTGGCCCTGGCTAACATGGATTACTCTCAGCAGTGGAAAAACACTGACACGGAGCCAGGAGAAGGTAATTTAACAGGGTGGCGGGGGTGAATATCATGAACTGAGGTCATATGTGTCCATAGACATCTCAGCAGAAACATATAGACTGTTAATGTTTTATTTCTTTGAAGCTCAGATAGATTTACAGTCTTGTTTGGTGAAGATCACTTTGACTTCTCTAAGTACAACCCCGCTCATTTCTTTGTGTGTCTGGTTTTAATATTTGTCAGCTATCAGTCATAAATAGCCTCACGTAGCTAATGTCCTTTTCCATTCAAAAATCTTTTGTTCATAGGAAAATTCTTTGGTTTTAACGGAGGTTTGACAAAGATCTTTGTTTAAATTCCTCAGCAGTTGAAATTTCAAAATTCTGAGTTATGTCAAATAAGTTCTTTATTTTTTTAATTACAGTCATAGAGAAGGATAACCAGGCTCTAAAAGACGTATTTCGACCAGTAGTTTACTAACATTAAGCAATACATAATAACCGGTACGCCTATGTTGTTTTAAAAAAAAATAAGATTTAGGAAAGACATAAAATCCTTTTTTTAAATACTAATAAATGCTTTATGGCGATGAGGGTATTCATCCAGACATATATGTTTTAAGGAGTGGAGATTTTTGGCTAATTTTGAGAAAGAAAAAGCACACACCCTTTCATAGAAAACAGTTTGATTTCAAAAAAGCTTCTTATAGATTCTTTGAAAAATTGCTTTTTCTGTGTATTCATCTGCTAGTATAAGCTTCCTAAGATATGCTGCATAAAACAATGATTACTTGCCCAGCCGGGGTCTTTAAGGTTAAAACTGATACATTCTCAGTGCATCTCGAGAGTGATCTATTTACAGAAAAGTGGATATATGCACTGTATATCACATTCTATGTCCCAAACTATTGTCGATATGTCAGAATTTAGAGGTTGGAAGAAGGAAAAACTCTTACAGACAGACTACAGTCCGACAGACTGAAAAGTAGGACACAAAGAGCCCTTGTGTTGCAGAGTGTAAATATAGTAATAACGTGTTTAGAGAAAAGCTAATGTCCATGCAAAACCCTTGCAAGCTGCAGATGCAAAGTAGATGTCTCTGCCCCTCCCATGTGTGTGCTGTTTGCAGAAACAACAGTTTGACAATGACTTTGTTGTTGATTGACCTTTGAATGAAATCCATGTGCAGCATATTTTCCCCAGTTTGGACAAAAATAGAACCAAATTAACAACAGTACTGCAGCTCTGATGCAGAAAATTTGTTTAGCACCTATATATTTCAACTGTAGTTAATATACTTTTTTGCACATTTCTGCATCTCAGTGAAATTTCCAAATGCTGTTCAGGCCTCAAAAATAGACTTTTCTTTTTGAAATTGCAAATACAAATGTAAATATTTGTGAGACTGGATTTGGAGCTCTGATGGGCATAAAATGTTCGAAGTTGCTGTTGCTCTTTGCCATTGAGAGCATGTTAATGCATCTCTGCAGGGATGAGGGGCCAGTATGCCCACTATTTACAGTCCCTTATACTCCAGTGAGCAGCAGCTCAGGCCTCACACAGCAGGTGTGTGTCTACTGAAACATCCAGTTTTTTCGGGTAGTAGTGTTGCCGATTTATTATTTGAACCTGCTATAGCAAACAGTCTTTCATTTCTTGTTTTTGCACATGATACTACTAGACTTTTGGTACACTACTACACTTTTCACACACACAGCAAATTAAGTGTTGATTTGGTAATAACTTGCAAAAGTTCTTCATTTGTTTTCTTTAAAACTACACGCTTAAATGTATTTTCCAAAGTTTAATATAATTGATGTATATGAATTAGTGCAAAATTGTGAAGTGAAAGGAAAAAGTTAAGCCAAGGTTAAGCAGAAAATGTTAAACAAAAAAGTTTAAGAAGCAAGAATATTTGGGAAGGCTTCCTTTCATCAAGTCATTGTTTCTGTATGAAATTGTTTGCTGGAATTGCTCTCTCTTTCTTTCAGTTTTTCATAATTTTTCTGATTGATTTACATTCCTTTGGTGTTTGGTCTCTGTAGGTGCTGAAGATCACCTCAAAGAAACCCTCCTTCACCTCGCTGTCCGCTTGCATTTGGTTCACCTCGCTCGTTTTCTAATTCACCAAACCAGAGGTCAAAGATTGTTGAGCTTACCCGATGAGGGAGGAGAAGCTCCAATCCAGCTGGCTCACCGCAACGCGCTTCATTCCACCTTGAGGGACCTGGCAGTGTAAGAACATGATTAGCTTGTTGAAATGTCCTAATTTGTGAGACTATTACTTCAGTTTGAGTTCCTCGTTGGAGAAATAGACATTGTTAAAGTAAATACTGCATGATGTGGTCTAGTTTTTGGATCCTACTCTTGAATTGCAACCACTTCTTTTACCAGTTGCATTCACACAAGACATGGTTTTCCTTTTTTTATTTAATGGAGCCTTTTTATTTTATTGATGAAGCCAGTTAGAACCTCCTTTGTAACAAAAACAGTGGTAAGAATCAAACTTTGTCTTAAAAGTAACTTGTTTATATGGAAATAAAAAGACATATATAACAACAAATTTTTCCACCACAAAAATTTTAACATTTTTTTTTCCAACAAACTTTCTGCAGATCAACAAAAGAAATAATGAATTGATAACAACAGTGCTGAAAAAACAATTTTTTTTTAGGAAAAGCTAAAAACGAAAAAGACAACAGATCCCTGCAAAGATAAGAAATTAGTAGAAGAGTATGGGTGGATTGAATATATCCAAAAGTACAAAGCAACAGTTTTAACCAATGTATTAGCTTATTTTGAAATATATTAAATTATTTTAAGCTCACTGTATTACATTTGGTTTGTATCAAGGTTCTGTGCAGGCTCCCAACTTAGAAATGTGCAACTTGAGAGTAGGGTTTGACATCGAAATGGATTAAAACAACTTCTTTAAAAAAAATATATATATATATATTCTGGAATCTTTAAATTTTTTAATTTCTGATTCCTAATTTTGGCCATGTCTGCCAACCAGAAGAATAAGCCAATGACCTTGGCATTTCAAAATATGGCTTAATATCAATGAAATTGGAAAGCATGGGGTACATCAAACATGATTAAACATGGCGAAACTCATGATTACTTTAAAAAGGTGTGAGCGACCATCTGCCAAAGCTGACAACGGTTTTAAGGACATAGAAACAGACATACAAAAAGAAGCAAATCTACAAAGGTAACTTTTTGCAGCATTTGCTCCACAGGTGGCCCTTTCAAGGAAAGAAACAGTCAAGCAGACAAGCTCTGACCCAGCTCCCATGTCAGAAGATTAAAGAGATCTCATACAGTTAGTAAGAGTGAAAGAAACAGGACCATCCTGATAAAACAGGCCTATTTCCAAAATCTGTAAACAAAGGTGTTGATGGCAGCAGTCCAGCTGATATTTCTATCTAGGATGGTGTCACAGCCAAGCAGGAACAGACAATATGGAGCTACTATGACCAGAAAAAGCCCTGGAAGAAAAGGTTTGGGGTTGAACTAAAATACTGCAGAACGTCAACATACACATATAATGAAGCAGAATGATAAAAAGTGGTCCCTATGTCCTCCAGCAGTCTAAGCCTATAGCAGCAAAACTACAGAGATAGCTTAGACACTCTAACTATAAGCTTAGCCAAAAAGGAAAGTTTTAAACCAAGCCTTAAAAGTAGCTTTATATGTGAGAAGAATTTTAAATTCTGCTCTGGCTTTAAAAGGAAGCCAAAGAAGGAAACCTAACATTAGAAAAAATATGGGCTCTCTTTGTCTGCAAGATTTTGCATCAGCCAAAAGCCTTAAACTGCAGATTACTATTTTGTTATTATTATTTTGACTGGCTGCACTGGTTTTGTACTAAGGTAGGTGCTCTGAGAGAATTTTCATTGATTTGTTAGTTTTAGTTCACAATATTAACCTTGGTTGCCAGTTGCATTCAGAGGCATTAAACCTGAAAATTTTATCTGTCTAGAGCTCCAAGAGGCTAAAAGTTGCCCAGTGTTGCTTTAAGGGTTTTAGAATTTTGGAAAGCATCTCTATTATGTTTTTTTTTTTGTGTTTGTGTGTGTAAAGGGAAGGAGGGAGAAAGTCAGCGTCTTACTTATGAAATTAATTTATTTATTATTGTTAATTGCAATGTGACCAAAATTTAGTTGCTCCAAGATTTGAAAATTGTGTCTTTTTAAATTGCAGTTATATTGCAAATGCAATAACTTTCACTTTCTCAGTGATTTCTTTTATGATTAGACATTAAAACAACAACTGAAGGCTTTTCAAGCTACTACACAGGTACAGATTTATACAGATTGCAGTAGAAACCTGATGTGTAATGAGTCTACATTTCTTCCCAAGGCTGTAGGGTCCTCAGCAGGGGCTTCTGCGGTAGGCAAAGTGTAAATAGAAAATTTAGCTCAACTTCATAAAAGAGCACAGAGACAATATTTCTTAAAACCAACCTATAGAAGGTCTAAGCTGGAACACTAACCTCTGAAATCAATGAATGCAGAAGAATGACAAAGAAATTTTCCATTTAGTCCATACATCCCTACAGAGGTTTGGAGGTTCAGGGCAGGTTAAATTAATTCTGTAAAATGTATTTATTTTGCAAAATTAATTAAACAAAGAATAATAATTATAAAAAGTAGAAATTTGGCAAGTTCCTCCATATCAGAAGCAGGTGTCTTAAACATGTTAGATATAGGTTGTTTATAAGTATTCAGCACAATCTCACTGAAGAAGAATGAAACTTGTACTTTATGTTAACATCCCATCAACTGTTTTTTCTAAATATGTTTTGTCTGCTTTCTTCCTTTTCCCTTATCAGGCCTTCAGGAGTAGCCATCGACCCCCTTCCAGGTGTTTTCTGTCTGTGGGCTGACAGCTCCTGCATGTTGAGAGTTTGTCCAAGAACCGAGTCTGTTTTCCTCACTCAGCGACAGTCTCCTGATAGGCGCCACCAGGACTCCATCATGGTTCTAAGAGAAAGACTGGACGACCCCAGAGTTTGCAGAGAGGTGAATCTTAAGTTTGATTTACTTTTTAGGCAGAAGTTTTTCCCAAATATTGAGCGGACATGTCTGATACATATGCACATCTCCCTGGATGTTGCATTGTATTGCTACCATAGAGATATAACAGTTTATTTCTTAAAGCTACAGTGTGTAATAATTACAGGGATATACAGTCAGAAATGTAATATATTATACATAACTATGTTATTTATCATCATCTACGAGCTCAGCCTCTTAACCTTAATATTTGCGTTGCCTTAGAATTCGTTATTTATAATTACATAGGAGCGGGTCTCGCAGCCATGGAGGCAGACATCTTTGCGCTACGGCAGCGCAGAGCCAACAAACTAGCGATTGCGAGATCTCCCATTACGCTCGAAAGTAACTACGGCAAGTTGAAAGAGATGAACTGAGACGGTACTGAAATCTATACCCTACACAGACTAATGAAATACTATCTGTAAAATTATCTATGTAAACAAACCTCATCACTTGAGAAGGTAGGTGATGCGGACGTTGTGGAAGATATTTTGTCCCGTAACGCTCGCCGTACTGTTGGGGGGGGAGAAGCGGTGGGGGGGAGATGTTCATGTTGCTGCGGTCCGCAGTCTGGACGTTAGATGTCGCTGAAAATTACACACTGTAGCTTTAAGTATTTTGATTCTTTGAACTTTTTGTTTCATTCTGACCATAGCTTTAAAACTATTTCCTTGTTTTTTATATGTATGTAATATAGCAACACAAATTAGTTCATAGTCGTTAAGTGAAAAAAGGGATGACATTTTGATGAAATAAAGTAAAATGAACCTTTTTAATTAATTAATTCTTTTTTTAAGTTTCATTTTACCTTGATACGCCTAAATAAAATCTAATGCAATGTGTCACGTTAACACCCCTTTCCCACTGGCCAAAAAATGGCCTGCCAGTGGGGGTCAGACCAATTTTTTTTGAAAATGGCAAGGGAGTAAAAAGCCGATTGCTGTGTTTGAGAAACAGTGTTAACCTGCTAATTACAGTGGGAAAGAGGCTTTAGAAGTCAACTTTTGATAATCCAACAACACAAAGCTTTCCTCCTAAGCATAAAGACAAAGAAAGGAGAGCAATGATAAGAGAAACTCCTGAAGAACAGCAGAGATCTGCTACTCAGATGTGAAGACCTGTCAACAGGTCAGCCCTTTAGTAAGGACCTTTATGAAACACTTGCAAGAAAAAAGCACTGCTGAAAGAAAACCACAAGTTTTTGGAAGAAGGTCCTCAAGTCAGATAAAACCCAAAAGCCACTTTTAATGCTTAAAATGCTTTGTGCGGTGAATCACTAACCCCTCACACCACATAGGACAAATCCTCACTACCTAAAAGCATGATAGTGGTGCCATGAGGCTGTGGGGGACTTACAAAATCATAGGATCTCAATTTTAATGGCTATTCTCTTACAAGCATGGTAGTAGTCAAAGGAAAGAGGAATGTAGTTTGCAAATGAAACACATAAAAAGCTTGTTTTATACCTTATAACGATATATGTCTCTGTTCAAGATCAACATCCTGAGAGATGCTGCCGGGGAACACAAGCGTCGTAGAAATGTAGCTCATCTAATTAAACGAAGTAAGTGTTTTTTTCCCCTTCTATTTCATATTTAAAGCACAGGAGAATAAATAATAGTATTTTTGTTAGCTTTAGTTTGTTTTCAGCAGAAATGAAGCCATCACATTAATTGAATAAAGGACTTCATTCAAACCATTTGACATAGGATTACCAGCGTTTCAACATTGTGAGAGTCCTAACCTACACCCTATGAGAAAACACTTCTTATTCGTTGCACTGAAGTGTCTGTTTACCCATGCTCCAAGTATGAAGGAGATGGTTGACCTCCACCCACCAGAATATAATTTGCGTCTGGAACAGAGCGACTCTAAACACAGGCTCATATTGACGTTCATTCATTTTTAAATTGGTTTATCAGCGTCACTCTGCTGTGTTTTGAGAATCTCTGTTTGTGTACATTTGGTGTCCTCTGATAAAACTGCAAAACCCGAGGAAACGGTGCAGAATGTTACCCGTCAATCTGACTAAATGAGTATTTGAGTTGTCAAACCTGATAATCAAAGGATTTTAGGATATAGCTTCAGAGCTTATATCGCGTAGCCCTGTCCTGTGTGTGCACAGACGGCTCAAATGTGAAGCCTCTGCGTCGGTTTGTGAGCACACAGTCTTCACTGTGAACATGCAGGAAATGAACAACCGCAGATTCAATTTTGCAAACACTGGGATCGTCTGACATCCATCACTTACAAATCCAAAGAGCCTAGAAAAAACACTTATCAAACTCCTTAAAAGGAGTAGTCCTCTGCACGTTTATTTGCACGTCCTTCGCGAGTAGAAAGAAAATGAGTCGATTGTTTCTTTTATTTTCCACCCGCCGTCTGTTTGACATGCCCAGGCTGGTATGAAAACGCACGCAGTGAAAGATTTTGATCCGATTTTCTTTTTATACCCGTTTAAAAAGCACGTTCTGGATCTCTCCCTTTAACTTGGGCCCCCCTCCTCTTTCTGGTTTCCATAGAGATGGCAGATGGTGGTATCGACTCATGAAGGCAGGCAGGAAGTATACTTCAGTATTGACCTTAACTCTGTCCCGACTTCTGCAGCCTTCCATTAAGTCTCTTGAAATAACAACTTCTCAGCAGGGAGTGTGTGTTCTTTCTCAGGCCCAGCTGCGTCGGACGAACAAAACATCTCATTTGTTGCTTTTGGATTTGTGGATTGAGGAGTCAAGATAGATCTTGTCATTTCCTCACCACTGGTTTTGGGTTTTAAAGGAAAGGGAGATGTTTGATGTCACACCTTATATTTAATTTTTTTTTTCATCTGGCACAGGTGACACCAAGGAGCTTAATGTAGACAGGAATGCACTGGTGGACAATGTGAGTATTTATACAGAATTTCTTAAACCTATAAGTAGAATAAGATAATTTTGTTTTTGTTTCAAATCATGTAAGCATGCGTTGCTTTTCATCCTTAGAGCTTTTAGTCTTTACAACAATTAAACCTCAAAGTATTTTTTGAGGTAGATCATTTATAGTTTTAATTAATTAGAAATAAAAACTAATAAGGGCAACATGCATATGCAGTCAAATATAACCGCCATGTTTATCAGCTTAGGAGATTTAGGGAAGGTATTTATTTTTCCCTTTAACAATTGCTCAAACCCAGTCATATTTTTTGAAAATATCAATATATATCAATTTTCCATCATACCAATAATTCCCTGTTGGCTTCTGTGGACTTTGACTAGGCCAATCTTACAAATGAACATGCCGTGATCTATTCCTTTCCATTGTACCATTAGCTAAATGTTTTGGGTTATTGTCTTAAACAGATTCCTTCAATGATTAGCTCTATATTTACCTCCATCCATCTTAAGGGCTGGTTATATTTCTGCAACCGCACACATCAAATGTTTTTCTGCACCGTCGGTCTGGAATTTCTAGGGAGGCACAGCAGTTTCCCTCCAAAGCGCAAGGCGCAGCCTATTCGAGAACTCGTGAGAACTTCGGCGGATGGTCACGAGAACTTTGGCGGCGCCAGCGGGAGTGTTTATATTCCAAAACAGCAATGGTGGGCCTGGAAGATATCACGGTCACGGATATGGATCTAGCGTTGCTAGACATTGAAGAGGACCAGGTTCTCTTAATGGAGCAAAAAGACAGATTAACCTTGTGTCGTAGTTGTCCACTGTAGTTGTTCCTCAGTTTTTAAAAATGGCGCGCCTGGGACCGAATCGAGAAGCATGGCCACACAGACAGCCAGAAAAGCATACCAAGGACCAATCACAGCTGCTTTTGTTCTGCACACTTCCGCTTGAGGTCTGCGCGGGTTTTTGACCGTCCGACACATAGTCAGGATTTTTTTTGAGGTACGCAACAACGATTGCAGAACCTCTGTGTGGGGGGCGTAGTCACACACAGAGACAGATTTGACAGTTGCAGAGCATGTGCGACAGAAGCATAAATTGGCCTTTACCCATCTGTGGCTATTTACATCCCGGGGGATAGCTGATCAAAGCCAGCCTTTTGGCAAATCCTGGAATATTTATGTTTAACCTGTTGACCTAACTATAGATTAGCCCTCGCTCTTTAGAATTAAAAAAGTACCATCTTCTATTATCTCCAGATCATGATACTGCTATGACTTTGCCTCACTATTGAAATGTTGGGTTAAGGGCTATGTGCAATGTTAGCCAATATGTTTAATTTGGGTTTGATGAGATCATGAATTCCCTACTGCTCTTCCATAAAGGCCAGAAATCTTAGCAGCATAGTGAGAGTCTCTTATCTGTCAAGGTGTCGTCTTAAGACATTTAATATATAGTACCGTAAGTGTGAAAGAGGATGGATTCAAATGCACTAAAGGTTGATGAGGTTGTAAGGTGACAAAATGAGTAAAGTAAGGAACATTGCAAAGCACTTAAGAAATGATATGCATTCGTCCTCGAAAGTATGTTTGATTTTTGTGTTATCTGTTTGCTGTTATTTAATTGAAGGTTTTTGAAGATCAGCCGACTTTGTTTTTAATTGACACTGATAGTGAAGAAGAAACCTCATCCTCACTGTCCGGTAAGTCTTCTCCTTCTGCTTCTGAATGATTTATATGTGTTTATCCGTCTCTGCCTCGGCACGCTCAGTACTATTCCCATTTCATTATGAAAGCCTAATATCTGTCTTAAATGACAAACGATTAGGACCTAAAAGAACACAACAACATTTTTGTGGCTGCAGAGAACAGTAGGGGTTTAGGAACAACCCACTAGCACCGACTGGAATCCTTTTTGGGACTGGCACAATATGCAGGCCGACTGCTGTTTTGAATCACATAATTGGAAATCAATATTCACAGTGAAAAGGAGACATGCGCTGACTGGTCTGACTCACAGGGACAGTTTTCCTCCTGGATTTATGACTGATTTAGTCGTGTCCCACTCAGACGCAATAATGAAGCCGTTTGAGAGTTCAGGAATCTGCCCTGTCATCTGGACAAAGACGGGAATGGGGTCAGGCTTGTCCCACTCAGAATTTGTCCGACCTCTGGGATACACCCCCGTACCCCTGTCTCCCCCCGTCCCGCCGTTGTCCCCCAGTCATCCCCTCCCCCAGTCATCCCCTCCCCCAGTTTCCCCAGTTAGACAGAAGAGCTGTGTGCATAAGGCAGGAGTTGGAATGTTAATAACTTCAAATGCTTACAAATGCTAGAAGTTTGGACAACATGCTTACTTTAAGATAATGTGTTAGAGTCATAACCATTGTAGACTGCTTTTCTCCTGCATTAGCTGAACGTTCTCAGTGTTTTGTTGAATACTTTAGTTGTTATTGCATCTACCAGGGGCAGCCGGAGTTATTGTTTTTTCCAAACCTGCTAGAATGATCATAATAACTTCTCTGGTTTCACCGACATAACTCAGCGTGTGTCGGTTATTGTTGGAAGAAAGGCGCTGTGACGTTCCGTCTACGAGCAGAGACTAATCTGTCACCAGCATTCTGGTTGGATGGACTTAAGATTTTCATGTCTGTGCATGTGGTTGGATTGAAACACAAAAGCAGGAATATGAAGACACATACACTGCTCTTTGCAGAAGTATTCAGAACTTTTTCATAGTTTCCCATGCTACAATCACAGATGTCGACGTTTGGGTGTGATGTTAAAGGATGTGGGATTCTCAAATGTTAGGTTCAGAGGTCAAAACTTTATCTTTTCATGCTTAGGAAAACAGTATGCATTGTACAAACACCTCGAGTACTTAATAATAGAGCTGATAAACCTTTATAGATGAAAAACTGACCCATTATCTGAGCGCAGCTTTGTAACATTGAATAATCAAAGTTAGACTTCCAGATACTCAGAGAGGGTATATTGACACTCCAACTCCAAACTCCAATCACCTCTATTAGTCATAATATGTCTTCTGCATTTAATCCACTCTTTTGAGCAGTAAACAGCTTGCAGCATCCAGAGCAGTGAAGGGTTAAGACATTAGACATAAAACATTCTTTAATCTTGAGTACCTAGTTTCAGGATATTTAGAATTTCAAGAGATCAGTAGTAATTTGCCCAACCTTAATGGGATCATGTCCTCCTTAGTAAAGCTCTTAAAGGACAAATCAAAATTTTTTTTCTAATTAGCCATATCCATAGATGTCTTATAGTGCTATCTAAAAATCCCTGGCAACTGTCTTTTACATTTGTTGCAATCCTGCAAACCCTCTGTTTGGTGCCCCCCTCATGTTAAATGGGTGTACTGCAACTGACTTAGAATTGGCATTGTTGTTGCCTCTACATTTATTGGAATGTCACCAAGAACAGATACAGAAAGTATAACTATATAACCTTTCTTTGAAAAAAGAGAAGAAAAAAAAAAGAAAAACTCTTGTGACTCAAAAGTCACGCTTTCAGGATGGCAGGATCCAAAACAGTTTTATGATTGTATTCCTCCTGGCCCAACAATCATGTTTAGAGCAATGGTTATTTAGTTCCATCTAGGCTTTCTCTGCTCTAACACAGTGTTAAGTCGGCTTTATCAAACAGGAATGCTCCTACAATACTCACACTTTAACACGATTAACTTTAACATTCATCTCCAAAGAACTATCGGAGAAAAACAACAGGCCCATATCAGCTTGCTTCCTTTCTGTGATGACATGCTCTGGTTGATTATCCGGATCAGAACATGTTCTCCTTGCAGTTCCTGTTATACAGAACAAAAAGCTGCTTTCCTCCTATATGCACTAATTTCTTTGTATCTGGTTCCTACGTACAGATTATTTTCTGCTGTGCTGCAGTCGTCTCTCTCTCTCGTATATCTTCGGTTTAGCTGGTACCCGAACAAAGACAGACTGACAAAACATGACATCTGTCAACTCCCTCAGGATGTTAAGATATGGAAACACTTCAATCACACTTAGATTGTTGGGAATCGGTTTTATCTAATACACAAACAACCAAATTCTAATACTATGCTTTTCAGTATTTTTATGTCTGATTTAGTAGTTTTTATAAAAAAAAATTCACCAGTGGGTATATTTTAATTGACTTGTTGTTTGATCAAGATCTGGATCTTTTGAGACTTTGAGAAAGATTGTGTTAGAACACCACCGAGTATCCTGTAACTTCGGTTATGTTCACACTGCAGGCCTTTATGCTCATTTGCGATTTTTTTTTTCTTTAATTCCGATTGCTTTGCGTTCACATTTCCAAATATATGCCACTTGTATGTTTAAGTGTCCTGCATGCGCAGTGGAGGAAGCTAAAGTAGCAAGTGTACCGTTTCTACTAAAGTAAACATGGATGGTAGTGCTGGACCGCATCTAGTGATCTTTGTTTTCCAACCGGAGCCAGCGCATTAACAAAACATTCTTTTCGAGAATGTCAAAAAGAAAGACACTATCATTCACCATTGTTGTTTTTCTCCCTGATTCTGCATTGCAAGATGCAGAATAGTGACCTTTGTGGAGTATTAATGGCGTACAGGTCAGATGATTGCAACTTGGCTGTTTCAACGCAAGTTGCATTTAAAAATATCACAGGTATCCGATTAAGGTCCACATATCCAAGTGACCTGGGTCGCATTTGAAAAGATCAGATCTGTGTTGTTCAGACTGCCATGAAAAGATCAGATACAGGTCAAATAGGGGGGGGAAAAAATCAGATTTGGGTCACTTTAGGCTGCAGTGTGAACATAGCCTTTGATACTCATTAAAAACAAAAAATCTGTTTTATATTTTAACTTGAGCACACCGCCTGTACTGTGAAGCATCATAGCATTAGCATCACGCTTAGATTATAACCTAAACTAATATCTGTCTCTGCTACACCCGGGTAGTTCCAGAAATGTTTAAACTGGTGGAAGTTGAAACATAGATAAGACACTTTTCAGATTTGTATTTATTAAAATTTGTTAGAAAAAAATAACATATTTTCTTCCTCTTTTAAACACTCTGCCGCTTTGTGTTTGTCTTTACATAAACTGCTGCACTTTTCAATGTGTACTCATGTAGCTATAAGTGTTTTTATTGCTCATTGGAAGAAAAAAAAAGAGAAATCAAGGATAAGACTGGATGTAAAACATCTGCCCTTGAGTGTTTAAACTCCAGTGTCTTCGTTCTGTGAGAGCAGCAGAGAGGAAATGCCTCTGAGATGCCCAGGATTTCCTTTACATTAGTGCAGCCTTGGCTGGTCGAAACATCAAAGGCAGGGGGGGGAGTACACTCATCAAACAGAGCAATTTTCCACTCTGTTATTCTACCACTCCTGTCGATGTGCTCTGCCTGCACATATAGTTATGAACTGCAAAAATACCCGACTCTGTGGCTTTATACAGTTATCACATAAATAAACTGAGCCCTTTAACCAAATTCATCTATGGGTTACACTGAAGGTTAGATTTTATGTGCAATGCATGTTATAGCCTTGAAGCTACCCATGTTTGAGAGAAGATTTCAAGTTCAAATAAAAAAAAAGTGTGTTACTATTAAACTTTTTTTAAATTGTTAAGTTAATTTTAGCATTTGGTAGTAAAACTTTGTGTCCACTTTCCGTAGTTTTTTCTACATGAGCCACAGGAAAGAAGCCGGAGTGGAGGAAGTCCATTTTTATCAGTTTGTGAAGCGGGTAGTTCCACTGGACATTAGGCAGGAAGTAAATTTTTTTTCAGCTACTTTAGATTTAGGCTGGTCAGATTTAGACCAGCTCTAGGTAACTGATTTGACTTCTAAAATACAGTCAATATATAATTCAAACAAGAATAATCCTTTATATGTTTTTGTTGGTTGTACCATTTGGACTCTGCAAGGAATATAGTGATTTCAATCATTCTTACGTATTAAATTTAACCTTTGTTAAAAAATGCCGTCCCTAGATAAAACATTTTCTCACACCCTTGGAAAATTCAGATTTATTTAATTTAATATTTAAACAAAGTAATAATGTTTACTTAAATCAATAGTTATATCCAAACATATTTTTAAAGAATGGTTATTTATTCAATCTATTTTTCAAAGACGGAACATCTAGTCTTCACTTACTATATTGTTCTGATTATTAAAAACTTAAAAAATGTATATTTCCTGTTTTATTCCAATTTCTATTCTTTTAGCATGACATATGCATTATTATTATTTAGAGATTTTTTTTTAAGTTGAGTACTAAATGAGATCTGGTGTTAATATGAATATATTTTAAATATTATTATGTATCCTACAATATCAATCATATGATTTACTGGGTATGATTGTTTAACCATAATACAGGTCCAGTTGGAACAGAGACAGTGCAAGCATCCTGTAAACTCCTGCCTTTTCTGTCTATGGTCTGTGCTCCATTACCTTTGGCATGAAAAACCATGTGAATCATAATGTGTTTGTTTTTCTACAAATGTGATCTCAATTAGGTATTCTCTGTGATGCTTATAACAGATAATACTTCATTTCCAGCATCTCTCCTGTATTCTGCTTTTGATATTATTTTGTTTATAAAAAGGACATAGCAGTAAAATGTTTGAAACTAGACATTAAACAAAAAGGTTTAATTTATAAATGATTCAAACCAACTTAGTTCTATAGTTGAGGGAAAAGATGAGTGACTGTACTTAGGCATTGCAGCCTGATAGCCCCCTAATGAACAGTTAACACTGTTTAAAACTGGAAAATAAGGAGATAAAACCAAAGTGATGATCACAATATGGAGGGAAATATGTTGAGTGGAGTGTTGGCCCAGTGATTAGAACAGTGCGCTTGTGCTCTTGGAAGGGTTCAAGTACCTGGTTCGATCCCCACACACGGGGTCCCTGAGCAAGACCCTTAACCCCTCACTGCTCCCCGGGCGCTGCACAATGGCAGCCCACTGCTGAGTATATGATATATATGCATGTATGTGTATATATATATATAAGATAAAACATTTTGTTCTTGCCTCACGGCCACATATTTGGAGCTACAGTCACCATGCATAAACATAGGATGCTAACTTTGTCACAATATGCTCAATTGGCAGAAATTCAGTGTTCGAACAGAAGAAATTAAAAATATTTTGTTCCTTAATGGAGTAATTCAGGTGTTCATTATGTGAACGGGGGGATTTACCATTAGGCAATACTTTGGCAGTGCACATTAATTATGTTTATAAAAATCCTGTCGTTAAAAGGCCATCAGAATGCTTGTAATATTAAGTGTGTCTCAGCACCCCCCCTCTGTGTCCCCCACATTGAATCAGTCCATTTGCACATGTTCAGAAAGGTCCAAACAGACAGTAGCATCCATTTGAAAACAAATGGTGCGAAGCACAGTGTTGCCAATTTAGCACTTTTGTCACTATATTTAGTGACTTTTCAGACCCGTCTAGCACATTTATTTTTAAAAAACTAGCGCCACATTTAGTTTACTTTTTTCTGCTACTGGAGACTTTGGTGACAGCATATAAAAGCTCCGAATTCTACTCTCTAGAGCAAGTAGATTAGTAACCCCGCCTCTTGCTCTCCTCTATCTTGTCTGCTGTCATGATTCATGCAGCTATTATTTCATACAAATGAAAAATGGAGAACACATAAGCAGATCATGGCTTGTCTACTGTGAAAAGAAGGACTAGGTTATTTACTTTTGGAAACTCAAGATGGAACAATCAGCTAAGTGAGCTCAGTGCTTGGAAAAAAATCTTTCTTTCCTTTTGAGACAGCATGAAAAGTCAGCTGAGTACAAAACATAGAGAGGAAAGCAACAAGAAAAGGGACAAGAAAAGAGGGACAAAATGTAGAACAAATAATTTATGTCTATTCTATTAGAATTTCTGTATCTGTGTAATGGGTCTGTTTTATGTGTTGTCTTATCAATTCAGAGGGCCCCTGCCTGTCTTTGCCTAGGGCCCCAAATTTCCTAAATCCGTCCCTGTATGAAACCATACAAAACAGTATAGCAAAATTAAGGAACGCGTTACAGACTGTATAGTATGGGCAAAAAAAAAAAAAAAAATCTGTAGAGCTACTGAAAATAAAAATTGTAAGTTAACTATCCGTTATGCTGATCTTTTAAAACTCAGCTGCCTGATAACTAATGCGGATAGTTTTTCTCCCTGTTTTGTCCCTCCTGTCCTGTGCAGTCTGTGCAAATAGAGGTCCTGGTATTTGTTTCTGAAACTCTAAAAAACATCGAAGCCACCAACATTTTCACTTCAGCATCTCTTCTGCAACAGACTCATGCATCAGCTTGGTGCATGTAACCTGCTGGCGTAATTCTTATCTGTTTCTCACAAACACGCTGCCTTATATATCAGTGATTTGAGTTGTTGAGTGATGTGGGATATTTTTTATTAAAGCTAATATAAGCCGATACTGATAGCATGTTGATACTATCATGCATCCTTTAAAAAACAGCATATTTGCATAGAAATATAAAACAAGTGAGGTAAGTTTAAAAAATATAATTTTGTGCTTATAATATGGAAAACTTTATTTTCTTTATCACTGTTTTTGTATAATTTGTAACAAGACAGGCCAGTCATCGGATTTTCAAGATTTAAGACCTGATCAGTTTGTCTTATAAGAGCATCAACATTAAACAGATGTAGCAGAACAAAGGGCTATGACTCATAGAGAGTCAATATAATCCACCTTATTTTTCATGAAACACACAGCCTGTCGCCGAGGATAATGTGTGGAGGTTTTTATGAAAATAATCCTTTAAAGGTCAAACAGGAGTAGGTATGCAGCAGCTCATCACTTTTCCCTTTCTTCTCTTTAAGCCTTGACATTTGTGTAAAGAAAGACAAATGCTTTGCAGTTTAAAAACATTAAAAAATAAAAGAAATTAAAAGAAAATCCTTAACCAGAATAAAGCCAGACAGGATACAGGCCTGAAGCATCCAATAAGACTTAATAGCTGAGTATTGTGACATGTTTGATAATTGGTTCTCTAAGTCTGGCTTGTGAAGAGTACGTGTTTGTTACTTAACCTTCTCCTTTGATAATTTGTCATATTATTTTAAGTTGCTCTGAAAGCTGCAGTCCTTTAACACGCATCCATCTATCTGGCTTAAGTTTTGATGAATTGTTATATATAAATGTATTTTCTCAGCAGGGACTCTAGTAATAAATCTTTAGGCTTCTAAAAACAAGAAGCTTGCATAGCTGGAAAAGAAAACAGTGAGCCAATATATTGAAGACGTAATGAGATTTTGCTTTGTGTTTATCTTAGTAAACGTGCACCTGAAGCAGAGCACAGAAGTTCAGAACCAATTCAGCCAGCGTGCTTCAGACCCGTCACTCTCCATGATCAATGGCAATGATCAGACCTTTGCACAGCACACTCAGGTTGTACATTTTCCTTTTTTAAATGATTCTGTTTTACTCATAATTTTTTCCCCTTGCAACTCAGTGTTTAATTTTTCTTTTTGACACCAGGCTTGTGAAGAGGACATTAAGTTCAGAGTAGATGATGTGACAAGAGACAGCACCAACACTGATGGCAGTTTATGGGACCCTGAGGATCTTCTCCTTGCAACTGACACCCCTCCACCCCATTCTCACTTAAGAGAACTCCCTGCCTCTCTGCCTAGCTCCCTCTCTCTCTCACCAGTTGATCAGGCCCTCACCAGGCTGAACCGTCGGCCCTCCACTGAGCCGAACAGTCACAGAGACAGTCCAACAATGGAAACCTGCGACATCAGGTGTTAGATCTTCCCTCACTGTAGTCTCTACATGTCTGTGTTCCTATATGGAGCTGGTCGACAAGTTCCTTTTGTATCTCTGCTTATTTCTGTATGTCTACTTTTGTTTCCTTGAACCCCAGTCGGCCGCTCACACTAAGCCAGGTTCTGCTGGAGGTTTCTTTCTGTTAAAAGGGAGTTTTTCCTCTCCACTGTCGCTACAAGCATGCTTGGTATTAGGGATTGCCTTCGAGGCAATGATTTGATGCAATCACCTGGTTTTCCTTAGATAGAAAACTTTAAATCAATTTGACTGTATGATCTGGTTGAATTGTACCTGTAAAGTGCCTTGACATGTGTTGTGAATTGGCGCTATATAAATAAACTGAATGGAATTGAATTATATGCATGAACGACTCATAATTTCTTTTTATATGTTTTCTAATCTCCCAGTCTGGTGGCCCTGGAAGTGGACAGTGAGGAAGAACCTCCTGAGCCCAAGTCTCTGCTTTCCCGCCTATTTTCAGACGTTGGCAAAAGCGAAGAAAAGAAAGAAACCCGGCGTCCCAATCCTGATCTCACCTGCACTCGTAGCCAGTCGGCTTCAGCATGCGAACCCAACTCCAAAGTAAGATTACATTTAGAGATGTTTTATCACGCCTGACGATGGGATTGTTGTTTTGTTTTTTTTATCTCAAGATTTTTTATTTATTTTTTCACAGGACTTAAGCGAGGAAGGAGTTCGGCTGCGCTCCTATTCCTACTCACACTCCAAGTTCTGTCCTAGTCGCAGCAACCGGGACAACCACACATCGGAAGGTAGCCCTGGTCGGTAAAACGCAGTCCACATAAAATCCAAATAATTTTAATCTAACACATAACTAATAATTTCTTTCTCATAATTTTCCTATTTTCGTACACTAATGGAATAACCTTACATGTTCTCTTAGTTTAGTCTAATTTAAAGTATAGTCATGTTCAAGTGTCAGTTCCTCACATTGAGATTAAACTTTTAAAATAAAAGCAGAATCAGTTCTATTAACACACCTTTACAGTGTGCATGTTACATTTTTCCATGTGGTACAAACACAGCTGCTTGATGTCTAACTGAGTAGCTCCTTGCTTGAACTTGACTACACTGCACACACTGTAGGTTTTGCACCTTCTTCTTGTAGTTGATGTGTTAGCAGCGCTCTGTCCACTGTGCCCTGTAGATGGCGTTCTCCACAGTGTCAGCCACAGCCGATCTCTTCTTCAGGCGCTCTCTCTGTCTAAATCCACCCTGTCTCTGTCTCTGCTACACCCGGGTAGTAAGTACTGGACGCCTGCAGTCACCGCACCACACCCAGCCCTCACTGACAGCACTTGTACATGTTTGTGGTTGTGTAAATGTGTGTTAGCGATAGAGACAAACATTGTGCAAAGTGAAGCTGTCATAATTACATTCCTGCTTTCCACAGCACTTTCCACATCCATTAGGATAGGCTTTTTATTAATAAATACTTTGACTTAGATTAAAGACTAGAGGTTGCTAAGGCATAAATAGTTTATTCTTTGCAAAATTTGTATTTTCTAAATTTTAGATTCTTTGCAAATTTTCTTTGTTTTTATTTCAATCAGTGACTAACAACTAATTTTCTGCTGTTTTTCTCCACAGAGCAGAGAACCTCCAGCATATCTGAGCCGTCCCATGACAAAAGGTGTTTATCATATATCATTAGATACTGAAATCCTATTTCTTCTGTAGTTTTTTTTTTTTTTTTTTTTTTTTTTTACACAATAACCTAAAATAAAATTCTTTGTATATTTGGAACTGAAATGTATTTTATTTGGATTTAATGTAAAGGACGACAGAGAAAAGGATGACTGTCAAGTTGAAGGAAAATTATTCAGTTTGAAGAAGCTTTTCTTACAAATCTAAGAGATTGAAAGGAAAGCATAATTTCTTTTAATCTTTAAATGTACTTTTTGGTAGCTGGCTGTACGTTTGGGGCGATTGCTCTGATGGAAGTTGAACCTCCACCTCAGGACTGATAAAGCGTCATGTTTTCTTCCTTTCTGAAAAAAATATAAACTTCCCCAGAGGATGATGTCCCCATCAACGGGCTTAACGGAGAGGATGGTTGCTATAGGATTATGTGCAGTGTTAATTTTCCACCATGTCAAAAGTTCAGTTTTAATCTCATCTGACCAAAACATTCACTTCCTCTTGTTTCCAGTGTACTAGTACTGAACTGTAAACATCTTTTCCTGTGGCTACAAATCCTTTTGCAAGGCACAATAATTGAAAATGAACCAGAAAATCTAATGTATAATCTTTAAAGTCTGCTACAGTTTTTGTTGAGGCTATTTAATTTTTCTTGTAATTTTAGCTCAATAGATGTAAAAAAAAAATATGCATACTTTTTGCCCCCAGCTGAAATGAAAACTATTACTTGGATTTTTTCTCTTTAATTTACCACCTCTAACATACTTAAAATCAAACCTCATGTATATCCGTCTACTTGTTCTTAAGGCAGTTACCAGACTGGCTTTAAAAAAATAATATTGTGACTCCAGATCTGGATTTCTAATTCTGCTCTTAATTGTTTTTTTTGTTTTTTAGCAGTCAGACTTCCAGTTAAGGTTGTCTACAGTCTAAGATCGTGCCCTTTATTTCTATGGCTTCTCATGAGCAGTTATAAAAGCTTCATTGTGTGTTTCCACATGTTTTGCAGAGAGGTTAGGTTCCGTAAACGGGCCCAGTCTGCTGATGATGAGGGCAGCGTTGAGCTGGCAGAGTCCCTGCACCATCTCACCCTGTCTGAGTTTCTCAAAGAGTATGTGTAGAGGATTTACCCTGTCGCCCTCTCCGTGTCTGTCCCACAACAACAAAAAAACCTAACCCCAAACAAGGCATTGTTTGCATCCGCCCAATATGGCCTCAAACAGTAATAGATCAGTTTGAAAACACCTCCTGTCTGTAATATGCACAAGAAGTCTTTCTGTTTGTCTCTAGCCTTTAACCCTTCAACTCATGCCTTCTTGCTTTCACATCACAGCAATGCAGAGAAGTGTCACCATTTTCTTACATTATACTTACTAACAGAAGGATACTTGTGAAGCTTAATGTTGTTGCTTTGACTTCAGCTGTTTCTCTTGGAATGCTCTACTCCAAAAATTTTCCAATTTTTTTGGGGGAAGAACCTTTGCAGCTTGAGCTAACCTGATACATTTCATATGCTTAGGAATTTATCCCAACACCCTCCTGTTTTGCTTGATCTTTATTGTTTTCTTTACTTTCCAGGTGATAAAAACTAAATATCTGAAAGTTTTAAGTCTACATTTTTAAAAATCCTGCACATAGGGGGTTAGAAATCTCAGGAATTTTATAGTTTTTTTTGTTTTATTTTTTTGTCCTTGCAGGATTGAAGAAGAGGAGTTGGAAAAGTGCAATATTCCAACCAAGGCAGAATCAGAGAAGTATAAAGTCATTCGTACCTTCAGCTTCCTTAAGAACAGGATGTCCAGCACACGTAACAAGAGCAAGGTCAACAAGGTAAAGATCATATTTAGAGGGATAGATAGGTTGTATTGACTGCATTGGCTCCCTGTATATCTGGGTAATGTGAACTGAAAGCAGCTGAATCATTGGCCATTAAGATTAAGGATGTTGAAAACCAAAGTTATGATGCAGTAGAGCATTTATTTTCTGAAAGTTCTCTCTGCATCTAATTAGCTAAAAACTGACAGCAATCATTGTATAGTTAGCTTTGCATTTAGCAAAATTCACATGAAAAAGTTAACAGAAGATGATTTTTAATGAAGTCTGTCATTGCATTTGTGTGTGCAATGACAGACTTCAGATCGCACATGATTAAGGCAGCAGAAACAGCTGGTTTACATGTAAAGTCTATGGTTGAGGCGCATCAAGGTGCGTCAAAAAGTCCTGCGGTGCATTTCGAGCAGGAGGAGCAGCGCATCTGAGCAGCTGAAGCAGCTCCTAATGAGCTTCTGAGCATCTGACGTGTGGGACGCGCTGCACAAGCAGCAGCTGCTCGAGTTGGAAAACTTTAACTTTTGCTGCTAAGTACAATCCAGTTGGCAAAACGGACATGAAAAACGTATTTCAGTCGCCGCAAACAGTAGTAGAAAACCCTGAAGAGGCGACCGGACCAGAGGCTGCCGTTAGAAGGGGATTTCCAGTTACCGGTACATAGCACGGGCGGTGTACGGGGATCTGAGCGGTTCCAAGTCTGACAGCGAAATAATATTTGAAGGCAGGATCTTAATCTTCATGAACTGACTGCACAGTTAAAGTTTACAGATGGACTTTCTCACTTAAAAACATAATGAAACTACTTTTTACCCACTTATCACAGAAAATATAGCAAAGCCACCCCCTGTTATCGAACGCAGAAGCAGCAGGAGCATTAGAAGCATCTGGACACATTTTACTGGATTTGCTTCAGGAGCCTCAAAGATACACTTGAGGTGCATCTGACCTTATTGTGTACAAGCATCAAAAATTAATCTGTAGAAGCTTTTTTGTTGCTTCCAGTGCCTGCAGTCTGAACTGAGCATAAGTGATTAAGTGTTCTGGGCGTGATTTCAGCTTTGACTGACACGGCAGCTGCATTGACACTTGCAGTGACAGCGACACAAACATGGGTATTGATATCAGTGCTGCTAGTGGTGCAACAAAAAGGTGGAATGAGGTGCAGGATTTCTCTCCACAGTCTTCACCAGAGAAAGAAAATTTGAGGCTGTGCTGTTCTAGAGAGGTGCAGCCAGGTGTTCTCTAGCTAACTTTGTGCGTTGTAAGTGAATGGTTATAGGTAGATCAGAATTATTCATAAAAACTATGGTCTCTATCTGTAAGGCTTTTATAACCCACAGCGGCAGAGTTAGTGTTTCTGGGGGACCTTATAATACTTTTAGAACCAATACCAAAACTAATTGAAAATAAAAATATTAAACATGAGGAGGGCACCACATTAGAATCAAATGGGAAGAGAATTTTTGTGAAATAATGCCCAGGACTTGTAGAGGTGATGCATACAGTTAATTGGCAAAACAAGTTGATTTGTGGATAAGACATCCTTTAACTTCAACAAAGTTTCAATTTAAGACTTGATATCTGTAAAATTCTAATCATAAAGTTTAAAATAACTTCTTACAGATCTCTCGAATTACTTACACTGCCCAAAAGCCCTGCATTCTCAAAAAACAAACCAAAATGATGTTCTATTTAGTGTTAGTTTTGTTTTCTAGTTTTTAAGCTGCTGGGATTCTTAGCTCCAGTCACCGGTATGAACTATGAACTTGTCTATTTGCTCTCGGGAAGACACAACCAGGAAACAGTTCTGGGAATAACTGAAGGTCAGAGCGACAGACCAAACATGGTGTCCAGCCTCTTTCCTATCAATGATTAATCCATGTTGTTGAGTCAGCACAGAGACTGGAAACAGTTATTTACACTTTCCTCCATTTTGGACTTTCTTATGCCTCGGAAAGAGGCGGGGATTGGATAGCTTCTTTTGTCTTCAGACAAGAGGAATATTTAACTTACCAGACCAAAACAAGACACCAAATCTTTAATTTAAAACCTGCTAAGATATTATAGGGATACCTGTATGGTTCCACTGTTGATACTTACGTATGTCTATGGCATTGTTTTCAAAGGGAAAAGGGAAGGACAGAGAAGCCAAGGATAGACAACTAAATGGGCATCGGTTTGGAGCGGGCCCATGTTTAGGGCCCACAGTGTGTGTGGTTTGTGACAAACCAGCTTCTGGAAAGGATCTTCTGCACTGCTCAGGTGGGTGAAAGGTCAATTCAGACACAGGATTTATCCAGCAGAAATCATCAAATATATGGTCTTTCCTCAGGTTGCACTGCTATCGTCCACAAGGGCTGTAAGGAATCGGTCCCACCATGCTTGAAGGTTAGTCCGCTCTTGATTGTTTGGCTCTTTCTCTATTGAAAAAAATCCATCTGATTAGATCTTTAATCCAATTTACATTCTTAGAAACTTCAGGATAGGCATGCCACGACTGGACTAAAAAGCAAGACAGCCTCCCTGCCACAGAGTGAGCTTTATTAAAACTTAATTAAAGCAGACAACTTATTTCTTCATTTTGTTGTGATATAACCACACACTGCTGTCTGTTTTTCCCTCAGACTTCATAGTGAGAGAGAGCCCCCCCCATTCTGTGATCCCCATTTCTGTTTCCCAACCTGTCCCTACCCCGAAGGAGAGGAAAGACACTGTAACCCAATCAGGCTCTCTGCCTGGAAGTTTACCAAACAGTGACAGGTCAGTGAGCAATCAGACTTTAAAATGAATTATTGTGATGATAATAGCTATAATACATTACTGTGTTCTTCTTCCTGTACAGTCTGCTCAGCGAGATTTCAGAGACAGAATCTGAAGCCCTAAAGCCAAACAGCCTTTCAGAGGAGCTCCTGCCAACTCCAGGCTCCTCTGCCTCCAATGAGTCATCCTTCGGAGAAGGTAAAGGAGATAAGTAAGGTTTTTTGTTGAAAAGCCTTAAAAGCAAATCAAGAATTAGAGTTGTACCATTTCAGGTTGGCACATAGCTAACCTGCGGGTTTTATGAACCACTACATGTATTAGTGGTTTCAGATTTCTTAGGGGAAAAAAAATACACCAGTTGAGATATTTTGTTCTTTCTTCCTTTCTATCTGAAGCTGTCAACAAAAGCATCTATTAGGAGCAGAAGCTGGCAAAATTTGAAAAGATTTTAAACAAGAACTGATTGACATTCTAATCCACCTCAGCATCTCAAATTAGCAGTAAACATTAGTATGAGTAATTGTAATAAAAGATTTCTGTGATTATATTGTATAGAGATATTAACACATTCCCCGACTAAAATCACCAAAAAGTGAGCCACTTTGAATGAAGAAACAGCTGAAAATTGTTAGCTTTGAGTCTTATTTGCTTAAGAAATTGTTCCATAATAGATTGGTTTTTTTTGTAAGCATAGTCTGTTACTGTTCAGCTTTGGTTTGTGTAATCACAGAAAACTTACTACTTATTTATTTCAGTACCTGTATTAAGAAACAGTCCATTTATAAAGGCATCTTAGTGTGAGCATGTGACAAAGTAAAAAGTTCAACATTGTTGCAGATTGATCACAAAAACAAATATAGGTGGGAAAAAAATCAATTCAGGCATTGAAAAAGTAATGCATACTTTAATTATACTGTATATTTATTTTTCCTTTGATATTATTAAAGTATTTTTGAATTGTATGGTGAAAAAAAAAGCTAAGAAGGCTTGAAAACTAAATCAACACAAAAAATGTATGATTGGATCAAAAAAATTTGTTGACTCTTTAAAATTCTTTTTAATATTTCTTTTTCTATCAGTTGTGGTGTTTATCTTAAGGTTCACTTCTGGTTCATCTCTTTTTTTATTTCTTCTTATTCTTTTCTGAATTTGAGGATAAATTTTGTTTTTGTTTTTTCACTCATTTATGGATAAAGTCAAAAATCTGTTAAACTCTGAGTCTTTTTATGTATAAGATCTTAGAAGAGCTTAAACTTTAATCAATTCAAATCCTTAGAAGAATGAAATTATGTTATTTGGAATTTAAAAAGGTGTTGACTACCAACTCTTGCCTTTCAGTTCAGTTCGACATTGCTATTAAACTGAAGTCAGCAATGTTCACTAGTTGCTACGCTGGCCTTCCCTTAAACTTTGTCAAGGTTTTGTGTAAGTTAAAGAAATTAATATTATCTGTGTCTGTAAATGCAGCTTTTTTCTGATAGTAAAGAGCAGACAGGAAAATTGAAAACCCTATATTAAGGATGTTGTGAAAACTGATAATTTTAAAGTTGATTAAAAGTCCTTTTTTACTTTTCCCTCTCTCCAGACTGTGTGGACTCATATATTCACACATACAGTGACATATTAGCTGATTCTGCTGATTATGAAGCTGAGTCATGGAGTCTGACGGTAGAACACAAGTTCTGCAAGAGGCAAGACAAACGAGCTGTCAAGAGGCAGGATGTAATCTATGGTAAGCCAATGATAGGAATGTTTGTTTTCACATTTGTTGCAATAATAACATGTTTTAAAAACGCTGAAATTGAGAAACATCTTTGAATTTTTGTTTTTCTTGACACCTACAGTTTGTTGCGAAAGTCCTCATTCCTTTTGAGTTCTGTTATGTGTTATTTTTTACAAAGCAATCATTTTGATTTTTTTTTCTTGTGATTTTATATAGCAGACCTAATGTCCAAAATTGTGAAGTAGAAGTAAAGGGAGAGAAAGGAAAAAAAAAAAAAAAAAAAAAAAAAAAAATATATATATATATATATATATATATATATATATATATATATATATATATATATATATATATATATATATATATATATATATATATATATATATATATATATATATATAAATGGCTGCATCTGTGTTCACCCTCCTGCAATCCAATCTCCCCAAATAAAATGACAAAATAATCCATACACTTGACATTTATGGGAGTTGGGTAAAATTAAATCCATTGTTAAACAAAATAAACAAATGCTGTTTGTGGTTTGCCATATATCATATATGTAAATTCCCTGAGGCCAGAAAACCTTTTCCACGTCCACTAGAACAAAGGCTCCACATTGTGGAGCACGTTGGTGGCAGCATCATGGTGAGGAATTCTTCTCCCTGTAGGGTGAGATAACCTAGTTAAAACTGATGTGAAGATCGATGAAGCTAAATGCTAAATCTTCTGGAAAAAAACAAAGTTTTGAATGCTGCAGAATCTGATATATTGAATTTTGGATTAATGTTTGATTTGTTGGTTATGAATGCAAATGCATTTCAATTAGGGCTAAAACAGCTAATTGGATTAACCATGATTAATCAAATAAACTAATTTAGTAATTAATTAATCATTAACTGCAGTATAGAGACTCTAAAACATGCCTTTAGCAGACAGATCAACCCACTTAGAGCAGTACTTATATCAAAATTGTAAAAAATATATAAACATTTTAGTATTTAACAGAATAAGAATTTTCGTATGTCAAAATGCTCTATCCAGAACTCCTCAAGTGGAAAAGTTTATTTTCAACTGGTCTAATGTTTAAAAAGTCTTCTTTAAGAAATCTTTTGCTATATGGTTATTAATTGATTAATCGAAAAAATAATCAACAGATTTATCAGTTTGCTAAAGAATCGTTAGTTGCAGCCCTAATTCCAGTTCTTGTTTAGATTTTTACTTTAAAGCGATGTTTGTATCGGGTTTAGTTTTTGTGTGTGCTAATCAAGAGTTGCATTGTTGACCCTTTAACACAGAGCTGATGCAGACTGAGCTCCACCACCTGCAGACGCTGCACATCATGGCTGAGGTGTTCCGGCGTGGTATGAAGGAAGAAGTCCAGCTCGACACGGAATCTGTGGAGCGAGTGTTTCCCTGCCTGGACCAGCTGCTTGTTCTCCACCATGCTTTCTTCGCTGCCACGAGGGAGCGGCGTCAGACCTCTGGGCAGCCCCAGGGTCATAGGAACTACCTGATACAGCAAATTGGAGACATCTTGCTTCATCAGGTTAGACTAAGTTTTTTGTACCAACTCTTAAACTTATCAAATGAGGAGATTCCGGTGTGATAATGAAACCTTTATGTAGTTTTCAGACGAGAATGGAGAAAAAATGAAGCAGGTTTACGGAGAGTTCTGCAGTCATCACAATGAAGCAGTCAGTTTTTTCAAAGATCTCTTGCTTCATAACAAGAGATTTCAAAGTTTTGTTAAGGTATCATTGCCTCAATTCTCACTTAAAATCACTACCATTCAGAGGAGGGAAATAATGTGTAACAATATCTACTTCCTTCCATAGCAACAAGGTCATAACTCTTTGGTGCGCCGGAGAGAGATCCCTGAGTGCATTTTACTGGTAACCCAAAGAATCACAAAGTACCCAGTCCTGCTGGAGAGGATACTACATTATACTCAAGGTTAGATATCTCCTGCCCTCTAATGATAAGTCAGGGTAACTGCAGTTTATATCATCATTCAGCAGGATTTAAATCTTCCCTTGTTGATCTTCCAGAGGAAACAGAAGAGCATGGTAACATTTTCAAAGCTCTGGCGCACATCCGAGAAGTGATAGCAGCTGTAGACTCGAGAGTCAGCGAATATGAGCGCCACCAGAGGTTGCAGGAAGTGTGTAACCGCATGGAGAACCGCAGTACAGCCAAGCTGAAGAGTGGACGCACGTTCCGTAAGCAGGACATGATGGGGCCGGGTCAAACCCTCAGATACCAGGGTGTGCTACTGTGGAAGACCGCCACTGGCCGACTTAAGGGTAAGAATTTCCAACACAGGGTTAACATGTTTGTTTTATTCAGATGGAAAAAATCTTCCACTCAGGTAACAGTGAGTTCTGCTTCTGTTCACTGTTCCAGATGTCCTGGCACTGCTCCTCACCGACAGCCTCATCTTCCTTCAGGAAAAAGACCAGAAATATGCATTTGCTGCTGTGGTGAGCCTACATTTTACACGATTGGTAACATATTTTTTGTTAGTGCGGTCATTTATTTTTCTACTTTTTACCCACAGGACCAGAAGCCTCCTGTGATTGCACTGCAGAAATTAATAGTTCGGGAAGTTGCAAATGAAGAAAAAGGGATGTTTTTGATCAGTGCCTCTTCCGCCGGCCCGGAAATGTACGAGGTCCACACTTCATCCAAAGAGGAACGAAACACCTGGATGAGGCTTATTAGAGAGGCTGTAGAAAGGTTTGTTCATGTTCTTGCAAGGTATTTGTATGCCTTTGTCGTTTTCATATTGTGTCACGTTCCAACCATTCCAACCATTTAATAAAATACAATAACATTTATTGTATTTTATAAGGGTTTTCTGGAAATCAGAAAGGTAGTTTTTGTGTAACTGAGAGGTGGAAGAAAAGGGATATGTCATTTTGTAGTGAAAATTAATGAGGGTGGGTTGTATTCAGCTCCCTTTGAGTCAATGCTCTGTTAAACCAGCACAAAACATCTGGGATATGTTGCAATCACATTAAAATTCAGGAATTTTTTTCTACATCAGCGTTTTACCAGATAGAGTTCAGCATGAAGGCAAAACATTTAGTTTAGTTTAGCCTCTTCACTGATTTTCTTTATTTTTATTATATATATATATATATATATATATATATATATATATATATATATATAATATGTCTTCTATTTTGCATAATAATAATAGTTTTGATGCAAATAAGGCTCACAACTAAAATAAACGTGCTACTAGAGGTCTGAGGAGATTGTTTTTCAGATATTCAATATATTTCTACATTTATTGTGAGATTCAGTTCCAAACAAAAACAATAAATGTACTAAATAAAAATAATTATTAGTATAGTACAGTTATTGGTGCTGGATTTTATTTGGAGGCTTTCAACATAAATAGCCTTGACATTAAAAAGTAATACCCCAAATATTATATTGCACCTGTGTTACCATGTGTTGCTTTCTTAAAAACAAATCCATCCGTTCTATCTTTATAGCTGTTTTCTTTCAGAGAGGCAGCTAGTGCCTGTCTTCAGGGTTGTACAGGTGGCACTATGAACAGGTTCATCACAGGGAAGAAACACAAGACAGACAACAATGCACACACCCACATATACCTATAAAACTGTTAAAAGGAAGTCAGAGTACCTGGAGAGAACCTGCACATGCACTGGAAGAACATGAAAATACTGCAAAAATTATCTAGAAATAAATAGAAAATTAAGTGTTTTTACCCTTACTTTGAGTAGGTAAATTAACTGATTTCCCAATGAAGTGAGTATTTATAATCATAAAATAAGATAATTTGATAACATGCACTTAAAATAAGACAATGCAATAGTTTTTTTTTTGTTATTTTAAATGTAAATGGCTTTATTCCATATGCAAAGTGTCCCACTTACCTCGTCAATTCAAAAAAGTTGCCATTCTTTAGGAAAAGTTACTTATTTAGATTTAAATTTTTGCATTGAAGTCATTGCAGAAAGCCCAAAGGTCAGTATTCAAAACCTGGACCTTCTTTCTGCAACTACTTGTGCCGCATTACAGTCCATAAAAAAATCCAAAGATTGAAATAGTAATGTATGGTTGTAACATGACAACATGTGAACATTGTTTAACACATCTATATATAAATACTTTTGCATAGTTCTGTATATGTAGTACATAGTTTCCAAGAAGCATGGATTTGGTATCGTTAGCTAAAAACAAAGTCTTTTCTTCCTGTGGGGTTTTGCTGCTGTTGCTCAGCTGTCCAGAGGAGACGGAGGGATCTGCAAGCGAATCTGAAGAGGAGAAACGAGCTGCTGAGGTTCGTTTCCAGAAGATCCTTAAACTTCAAGGTAAAACCGTGCCAAGCAGATGTTCTGTATGTTCTTATAACTGAAGTTGCACACTTTCTAATTCCTGTCCGCAATGATCTATCAGAGAGTTTGACGAGTCAGGATCAGCAGATCTGCTCCAGCCTGGAGGAGAAGCTGCAAATCTATACGGAACTGTCTGCTCTGAGCGGGAGAATGGAGGCCGTTTCAGCAGAACCGCGTCTGCTGGTCCAGATGCAATCAGAGGAGCTGCCGCAGGCGGCTGGACTGCTGGCTGCTGCCCTACAAGAAGGTGGGACACAAAACTGGAAACAATGTCGACTCAGAAGCAGTTTTACATACCCTTTCATTGATTAACACATTTACACTAGGTATTCCTAGAATGTTTGCAAAAAAAATCAAAATTATTTTATATTACATTCTGTTTAAAATCATTATTTCAAATAAAGTAGTAGTAGTACTAGTAGTAGGGTAGTAGTTGTATATATACCTTAAAACAAAGTATAAGATTAGTCCCCTGCATGACATCAGAGCATGTCTTTAATATTGATCAGCTTTTGTGCATCATAGTAAATGTTATTTCTTTGAAATGTTAAAACTTGGGTCACTTTTAGCGTTCAAGTATTTAATGCACAAATAAAATGTTTCTGATGTTTGTGTTCTTGACTTCCACAGGGTTAATAATGGAACAATTAACTAATTTTGAACTCTGGATGAATCTTACGTACAGATTTGATCAGTCTGTTTTAAATTTTGAAATGTCTCTGATCTAATCATTCCTTCTGTCTTTAACCACCATATTTAAGTGCAATCCACTATGTTGTTTCATGTTTTAATATAAACGATTATCCATTTTCTCCTGCTTAGTCCATGTCAGGGTCTCGTGGGGCCGGTGCTTAACTCCGGCAGTCTATGGGCGTGAGGCAGGGCAACACAGAGACGCACAACCATGCACACACCTAAGGAGAATATAGAGAAGCCAATTAACCCAACAGTCATGTTTCTGGACTGTGGAAGGAAGCCGGAGTACCCAGAGAGAACCCACGCATGCACAGGGAGAACATGCAAACTCCATGCAGAAATACCCAGAACCTTCTTGCTGCAAGGCAAGAATGTAGCGTAGCATTACTACCCACTCTACCACAGTGCAGCTCTATAATGAATTCCATTCAGATAAATGTTTTGTACTGAGATTATCATAAAAGAAAACTGCTGTAAAGTTTGAGTGTAGAAGAGTCTGGAACTTTATTAAAACGACATCTGTAAGAACTGTAAATGAACAGGAAGTAGTAGTTGCTACTCTTGCGGCACAGATGCTTTATGTCAGCTGCATATTTAGTCTGTTTTCCATTCTGTTTTTTTGCAGCTGAGAACCTCAAAGCTGCACTGTCATCCAAGGCCCGTTCTCTGTCAAGTCACAGCCAGGACTCGGACTCCATGTTCCCTGTCAGTCCCGACGCTCTCGCCGATCCCACATTCGAGGAAAACGGGGGAAGCCTGACTGATGCTTTTGAGTCTCAGTCTGCAGCTGACTTACAAAAAAGAGATGGGAGCTGTATTGATTTTAAGGTGAAAATGTTTTTGATGTTGCTTTTCTAGTTTGTATATAATGAATACTAAATGTATTTCAAGTCAGGTTTCATCATAGCTTCATGGTTTCCATTCCTGCTGTATAGAAGTCAGAGGTAATAAAGTCTCTCCTAGGTAGTTTTTTTTCCCATTCTATTTACAGATATCAGCCAAGGCTCCCTTCAATAATTAATCACTGTCAGAATAACATTTCAATCTCAATGTTTTGAATTATTGATAAACTTGTAATAAAGGGAAGTCCATTTCACTCTTTAAAATCCTACAGCATTAAAAATAGATATGGAGGCTTATTCCAAAGCCTTTAGCGCTGTGCTCTCTGCAGCCTCTGTGACCTGTGAGGTAAATTACTCCGATAAGAATGAATCGTTTTCTTATCAGCTCCTGCCAGGTAATGTGCTATTAAATAGAGCTGTAGAGATTAGTTTAGCCTGAAGGGGGCACAATTGCTGCATAGATGTATTAGATTTGTTCTTGTGGGTTTTTTTTATTTTTTATTCATACAATAAATGAAATGTATCTCGAACTCCCAGTTCATCTTTTTATTTAGGAATGTGTTAAAAATAGCTAACATTTATGAGCACAGTTGATCTAATGACCTGCATCATTATTTATTTATTTATTTTTCATCTACAGGCTGCAGAGAGTGTCCAAACCCTGACTCAGCTGCTCTACAGTTTACAGGTAAGGGCAGTCGTAGAAATGCAGCAGTGCCTTGCAGAACTTTTCATAATCCAGAGGGATTTTCTAACCTTTCATTAACTTAGATGTTAATTTACCTGGATTATAAATATTTGGCTGTATGTCTAGATTCAGCATAAATTATATAAATCAAGCTTTATATTGAACCTTGAAAGCAGAATGTTTTTAGCGATCAGCATGAAGACCAAGTAGTCCAGTTTTGGTCTCTTCTGCCTATAAAGTTTGTGGGAATAAGATTTCTAGTAACTTTCCTACAGCAATGTCTTTCCTTGCTTTCTTTTTATCGTGGTAATATTTAAGTATTAAACTACCAATCTCTAGCCTGTTCTAGCCTGTAAATATAGGTATTGGTTGGCTCTCAAATTGAGCAGAAAAACAACTTGGATATAAAAAGCAAGCAGGACCTTTCACTTTTATTTAACTAGAAAAAAAAACTAAATCATATAGGGGCTCCTTCAACATATCTTCCAGGCACTGTGAAGCCTATACCTTTTTTATTCTTTGTTTACCTACCAAACAGGTATATTTGCTAGTTAGTCACACGGGGATCCAGCCTGAAGCTCCAGGTTCAGCAAACAGAGCAACATCTCTGTTTGATGGTTTGAAGCAAAAGTAAGCAAGCAACCAGAACACTTCCCCAATGATCCTTTTTTTCTGCTCAGGGATACAGGGGGGTCTTTTGTTTTTTGCGATGCACAAAGCCCTATCTTGATATAAAATGTAAATTCATGTAGCGAGGGTGTGGAATTGCATTCGGCGTATGTGTGAGTTTGTGTGTTCTCTTTCCTGTTCAGGTTTGGGGTTTTTATCACTATTTGATTTTCATATTCAAAGTTTTTGTATTCCCTTGTATGTTTGAAACCAAAACCCACAATTCTGTCAGTAAGGGGATATGAGGAAAATGAAAAAAACTAGGGCACCAGCTGAACCTGACCATAATTTCCATGATCATTTGCCTTTCAAATTACCAGCTGCCAGATGCACATATGCTGCATACGGTGAGGTGAACCTTTTTTTAAAAAATATCTTTTCCTACTTCTTTGTGTTAGGCTGCCGTAACCATTCAGGACACTTGCTATGAGGTCCAGAGACTTCTACTCCAAGCGAGTGAGCACACCTCGCCCCGCAGCCACTGCTTGCCCCTCCACGGCCTTCGCAGCAACACCCTGCAGGAGCAGGAGAAGCAGCGCAACCTGGAGAAACGCAAGGAAGAAGTGGCGGCAGCCCAGCGGCTCCGGGAACGGCTGCGCCAGGAAAAGGAGCGCTGGGAGCGAGAGTGCCAGGCAAGAGAGAGCCAGCAGGTGGAGCAGGAGAGCAAGCTGGAGGAAAGGGAGAAAAAGTGCCAGCTGGCTGCAGAGAAACTGAGGCGGGAAAGGCAGGAGCTGGAGGAACAACTTGAGGAGTACCAGCAGAGCCTGGAGCGGCTCAGAGAGGGTCAGAGGAGCGTGGAAAGGGAGCGGGAGCGTCTGGAGGATCAGCACAAGCTGCTCCAGGCCTGGAAGCACGGTCGGCAGAGCAGCCTGCCCGCTGTTATACCTCACATGGTCATCCCTCTAGATGTGCAGCAGGTAGGGCCAAACAGCTGATGTTAAACGAACCAGCCTTCCTCCTAACAGAAACTCTTGACCCTTTATGAGGTGTTTCACAAAGCATGGTTTATCCAGTATTCCTTCCATGAACCCACTAATGAGATGCTCCTTCTTTAAAGAGCTATCAGCTTTCACCAGTTCACTCGTTCCTCCACAGCAGCTCAGCCAGCCTTGATATACAAGCTGTGATAACAAGAGCAATTTCAGCACCATTTGTCTTCATGCTCTAGCAGCTCAGCTCACCAGTAAACATCTTAATGATTAATGATAATTAAACTGCTGCAAATAAAAGCCTGAACAAAATAATTAAACCTGAGGCACGCAGCCCAGGGAACCAATCAGTTGTGTCCTGAAGGCCTTGAATTATTGACACTGTTTGAAAAGCCCTTTATTAATATTCACCCTGACGCTTTAAGGCCTAAAGGGTAAAAGGTCACCGTTCTCTGAGGTTGTTTGCCCCCAACAAACTGATATATCTCAGCAGTTTGAATGATGGAGCTAATCTACCACATAAAGCGCATACAGTACCTTCCAAACTGTATTCACTCAGAGGTATCTAATGGTCAGATTGCAAGGAGACCGTGTGCAAATGTTAAGTCTCATGTTTAATAACAGTTTGATGATTAAATTCAAGTTCAGTTTCTATTCAAGCACCAATATAACCCCCTTCCTTAGTTGTCTGACTGATCCATCTGTCCCTCCAACCAGTCTTAAAGGTATAGTGGAGGATTTTTGTGAATTTTTTTAAAGACCCGCCCTCTCCACTTTAAAAAAAAAAATGCACAGGCACAACCCTGTACCCGTTCCTGGGAGGGAATGCCTATTAAACGCTATTGATAACATGCACAACCCCTTTTTTCCTCCTGCACGCTCTGTTTAAAAGTTGCTATTCTCATAGCTCATACAGGCTTACTGTGTCTGAACGCTCACCCTAACCCCTCGGCCATTTTCAAAGAACCACAGTGAGAAAGGTGAGCTTCAATGACTATCTGAAACCCTAGCTCACCCCACATATATACCTGAAAGTGTGCATGCGCAGAAAAAGATAGCCAACGGGACGAGCACATAGGATGGCCTTCGATAAAAGATTGTCCTCTATACCCTGAAGTTAGTATTTTGCACTGACTAATCTTGTGTTTAATTGCATACATCCTACAATAGAGTCCAAACAGAAAATGAAATTCACAGCTTAATGCTGCCACGGCCGTGTTTCACTCTGAGAATGGTTTCTTTATTTTGCATGAAGGCCCAACGCTTTGGTTTTAGCCTCAGCCGACCACAGCACCTGGTGTCACGTGTTTAAAGTGATTTGGTCCTGTGGTTTTCTTTTAGTGAAGGCTTTCTTCTTGAAATGTCTTGTTGAGTGAATGTCTGACTAGCTGTCTTCAACACAGTAAAAGAAGTTTCAGAGATGCAGACACACTTTTCTCAAATCCCAGTGTAGAAATCCTTAGCAAATCACATCTCTTTTTCCTCTATAAATATACATTTTGTGCGTGTGTGTGTCTGTCTTTGAATCCAGGTTGCTTCTGAAAAGGGCATCCTGAGGAATAACTTTGCTAATCAGCTCTTATTAAATGCCAAATTAAAAAAAGACGTAAAAGTCGCAACTGTAAGATGACACATTCTAAAAACGTTCAGTAGAAATTAATACTTTTTCAGTGCATCTCTGCTGGCTGGTGACTCTGCGCCAGAACAGACAGATAAATGAGCACACTTGGGTTACAATATTCCCCTTCTCCCTCATTAATTTACACACAACCACCAGGGGCTTTTTTTTTTTCTTTTCTTTTTTTCGGCTAGATATCATAAGGCTCTCCATGCTTTGAGCAGACTTACTGTATGTATTTCCATTCATCTATTTTAGTCTCCACAAAGGCCGCATTAAAAAAGCGGTGCACGCACAAAAGCCGGCGTTGGCAGTGGAGGTTCTAATGTTTCCTTGGTAATGTTTTAGCCTCAGGCAGTAGTTCAGAGGGTCAGAGACAGATCGAATGACACACACACACACCCCTATACACACACACACATATATATCAGCTCTCAGGTCGTATCTAATTAGCTGTGCTGCCTCAACAGTGGAAAAGCTCTGTTGATGTGATCAGTGGACAGAAGAGAGAGCCCATGATGGTACAGTAGGAGAAGACTAGAGGCCCACAAGAATGGTATATTGCAAATTTAATGCAATATCAATCAGAACTACCTGAGCTGTAACAAGTGTTAGCTTATTACTTAAGGGCTGAGCATTTCTCTGTCTGTTATATGTTTGATGACGCCTGCTGTTTGATGTGGGATTAAAAGCTTTATGAGACTCAGAGGTGGTGAGATTGTAAAACCATTCAGGGAGCAAGAAGCAATTATTTTTTTTTAGAGAAAGAGAATTAAAAAACAGTAATGTAAAGAAATAAAAGCATCTTTTTAGATGGAATATGGTGCAACGTCACAAAGCATCTGCCCATGTTGTTCTCTAGTCTGTTGTTTACAAGCTTTGTGTGCATATAGGTCCATGTGAATGGTGCCAATTGGGGCTTAGCACCTCCCTGTCCATAAATCATCACAGCTAGCCACAGCTCTCTGAAAAGAAATTGCAGCTCCAACTTGATTGAATTGCTTCAATTGGTAACAAGTAATTGAATCAACCTTTTCACCAATCTGTCTGTTTGATTTGATTGAAAAGACTCTGTAACGTGCCTTGACTTGACATCTGTTGTGAATAAGTGAAGTAAACGGTGGGACTTTTTTTTCTCTGTCTGACAGGCCTCTCCGCCATATAACTCCAGACGGCACGCCGGTAACGGCTCCGTGTTTGTGAACGAGGCGGCGTACGCTGGTGACAGCTTTAACAACCGCCATGTCCACCACAAACGCAATGACCCGAACGCACACAATAGTTTCAACAGCCTGCTGGACAGATCTAACAGACAGTACCCTGTTGTATCCAACCCTCTTGGATCAGGATACATCTACAGTCCCATAGGAAGGCTACAGCACTCGACCAGTGGTAAGACAAACCTGAAAGCTTATTGATAGAAGGGTGGTTTATTATTGATATTGGCTGGACAGTTGGTCTTATTCAGTATCCTTCTTTTGTATAATAGGCTTAGATTCAGATAGTTGTTCCCTTAAGTTTCCTTCATCTAGTAAAACAACTAATGCAATGATGATTATTGTTTTCAAGATTGTCTGTACATTTTAAAAACACCATAATAATTTCTATGTATAGACAAATATGGAAATGTTGTGACTCCCCCTCTTCTTTCTGTGCATCGTCTATTCTCCCTCTCCTCAAATATTTCTTTAATGAAGCTCTTTTGTCTTGTTTGCTTTTGTTTCTTCTTTCCTGCATAGTTGCCTATTTCCAAACCCTCCTTATTTTTAATGTCTGTGCTATGCTCCTTCCCAGTGTTCTCCCTTTTGTCTTTCTTGTTTATCTTCTGTTTCTTCCTTACTTAGGAAGACATCCTTCCTTTCTCATGCTTTTTCCTCATTCTTTCCTCTTTGTTGTCATACCTCCCTTTCCATCTCTCCTTCCTACTGAATTCCCTTTTTAACTTTTATATTTGATTCATTTCTTTATTCCTTACATATTTTATTCCCTTCATTTTACATCCCTTCCATCTTTAATTATGTCTTCCCTTAAGTTACTTGTGTTCTACTGTCTTCTTAAATCTTTCTCTTTTCATGTTTATGATGAAAATTCTGCTCTTAGCAAAAGATGAATAGTATTTTAAAATCTATGCAAAGGACCTGGCCCTCTGGAAAGCGGTTTATGGTATATCATATTGTTCTTTATACATTTGGATTGCACCATATCACATCTAACAATATTTGATTCTGTGTTATTGTAAAGGTTACCACAAAATACTGTTTCATATTGCACAGAAAAATCTTTTACTTTGTTGCTTTAAAGTAGTATTAGGGATATCCCTATCCGATATTAAAAACTAATATCAGATTTTATTGTCCAGCATCTAAAATCTCCGATATTTTCATGCTGATGACTATGAAAGCTGCTTTTTTAACGTTTTTTACTCACTGGTTAATTTTATATGGGTCAATTGTTTCATTCCTTTTGCTGTTGAATTTTTATCCCTGTTTTATTAATATAACTTGATCAAGCATCTTCTAATATTCTACAGTGTATAATCGTATCTGCTCAATATCGGTATCGGCCATTTCTCAAAGCCGCAATATTGGTATCATATCGAAAATGAAAAAGGTGCATCAGGAGACCTGTAATTATTTTATTTTGTTGATTCATATAGTAGGTATTATTGATTGCACCATGTTTTGTTTTTATATTTGTTATTTAATTTATAATTTACATTTGCTCATTGTGTAAGGTGACCAAAATTTTTAGGGAAGAATCTAAATGAACCTTTCAACCATTTCTAACATTAATACTCTATTTGAGGAACCATAGTTGGTGGCTTTAATGGGCACAGAAAAATGGCACCTAAGATCTTCTCAAAAAGTTTGTGCTTTAAAATATTCTCTTTATTTTCTGCAGCGCATGAAAAAGAGGGTCTAGTAAAAATCAGCAGTGAGCCAGAGCATATTTTCTGTTTGCGGCAGTTTGTGTGTCCTTTTGTCCGTCCTTAGGTGGAGTCCAAATATTGAAGTGGGAAATGAGAGGTTGATGAAATACAGATATTTTAAATATTTAACTCCACCACGGTTATTAGTACCGGATAAGGATTGAAAATTGAGTCAGCGGACACAAGTAAAGGACATTGGCTTAGGGGAGACTTGGAATAGAACTGCTGCCTCTTCTCACTGAAAGGCGTTCATTGAGGCGGTTCAGATATTTGACCTGTAGGAGACTTTTGTGACTTACTGTGGAGAATTTCTAGGCTTGTTCTAATGTAAGAACACCTAGAGACACACCAAGAGGACTGTGACTCTACATCTCGTCTGGAAGTTGTTTTTGGATTATCTCTCGACCTCTTTTCATAACCACCAGATCACAGTTGCAAAAGGATTCATGTATATTTTGATAGTCACCTAATTCTAAGGAGATGCACAACTATTAAATAATTGAGTTGATGTCAACTCTAGCAAGCTAGCATTAGGTAGCTGTAGCGTACCCTCACATGTCCTGTTGTTCTCTCCAGTGTGTTTCATCTTGTCCCCCCGCAGACCTCTCTGGCTCTCGTCTTTCACTCGGACTCTGACAGCTGCCTCAGACTGAGCAGCAGTCTATAGCTCTTGTGTTTGTGTCACTACAAATCACATCACCGTACTGTTTTCAGACTGTGGAGACGCCTTGCTATTCACAATCTCACCCTCAATATGAAGGTACTTAGTTGTCATAGGAAATAGAACCAAACTGTGTAGAAAAGAGCAATTTGAAATGAGTTATACAAGGTATTAACAGCTAAGGGCATTTTTCCTTTGTTAGTTTCAGTATTTTATGAATTTAGGAGCTGGTTGCCAAGAAACAGGCTGATAAAAGATTTTTAAGGAACAATAAAAGGTAGGAATAAAGGCTGTAAATTACAGGATCCGGCTGCATTTTCAAGCTTAAATTTTGTGCAATCTTACCTAACAGGATTATGTATGTGGATGCTACTGACACAACAAGGGGCTCTGTTGTCAGAGAAACGTTCTGCCTGTGAGAATCTAAACAAAGGCAGAGCTTCACTGGTTTCACCCACGTATGCGCACTGAGCTTCAAGGTTGTATCCCTGGTGAGGCCTAGCCCCCCCCCACATCCACCTCTACCTGCTCCGGCCCCCATCCCACCCTCACCCCTCAGCACCCTGCCGAAGAAGGAGAAAATCAATATTTTCTGTATCTATCGCCTGTCAGGGGATACAACAGTACGTGAATCACAGTTCACAAGCGAGGGGTGACTGATTAGGACATTGATCTAAAAAAAATCTTTACAAAACTCATTACTGCATGACTTGTCATCACACCAGGTGAACAGAGGAGGGGGGTGGAGGTGTGAGCTGTGAGAGGGCAAGGAATGAGAGATCCAGACATAAATTAATCTATGTTTCTCTCAGGGGGTGCCAGCAACACTCTCGTGTTTCCCGTCTTTCATTCTAATATCAAGCTTGGCAGATGAGGAAAATAACAGATTGCGTTCAGCGTGAGTGTCAGCTCTGCGCAGAAATGGGGTCGGCGCTAGCTGCGTCCTCCCCAAGTTCCTGGAATTGTTTACCCGCCGCGGCGGGCGGCACAGTCTCTCTTTCATTGATTAGCTTATTAACCTTTCCCCATAATCGAGCGCACACAGGCCCTGATGAAACCTAAGTTACTTGTTAACAAGCCAGGGGATATATGGCTGCAGTTTACATGGCAGGGGTTGCTTAAGATCATATTTATCTATAATGGCTTGCTCAGCAAGGGGCCTGAGATGAACTAATCCAGACAGAGAATATAATTACTGACCTTCTCCTAATTTCCTGCTTGATTAAACATCCCTATTAAGAGCTGTCGTCTTATTTTATGTCGATCCAAGGTGTCTCTGCGTGACTTTTCACCTAAGTTAAAGTACAAAGACGAACGAGATACTTTATTTTTAGTGAGGAAAAATGTCTTCCCTTTCAAATGCAAATTCTCCACTGTGCCGCCACGTGGATCACAATATAATCTTACACCCGCTCCGTTCCTTAATATGAAACTAGCTCTCTCTAATTCAGTAAATTTCCATAATTTGATCCAGGACAATGCAGTCTTGAAGAGCGAGTTGGATGAATTTTACAGAGACGATGCCGATAAGCAAACCAGGTATTAGTTCCTCTCAAGTAAGGGAAAGGAGAGATGAGTGAAAGGAGCAGAGCAAGATGAAACCACTGCACCTTAATGGCGCTATGTAGATGAATCAGAGCCTCGTGGAAAGAGCTAAATGACTCACAAAGCTTCTCTGTCGCTTCAGCTTCTCAGACACTGTAGATTTTCTTTGTTTCTCAAGAGGGAGGATAAAAATATGTGTTACATTTCAGAATACAGTTAATCTTCAGTTTTTCCTGTTACTCATTTTAAATAGTGCCACGCTTATTTGCTTTTGTTGGATTATGCTACCTTTACCTGGATTTAGATGTGACTGGTTTTCTTCAAGAAAAGAGACCACAAGATTAAATGCGTTTCATGGGGATTTTATATTACACACACACTAAAAATGAGTGGGTCATAAATAACTGAAACCTGATTATTTCCTGCCAAGCTGCTGAGCTATTATTGCACTGGACCAGTAGTAGTTGATTTGACCCAGCAAGATGGGTTTGTCTGTTATAATCCAACAAAGGGGTTCTAATATTCTACCCAAATTATGGGTTAAATGTTTTCAAACATCCATGCAAATTATGAACTAGTTCAATTAGATCACTCACTAAATCCCAAATGATAAAACAGAAAAGCTGTATTGATGTGTGATTCCTTGATAAAAGCTACATGGCTATCTTTAGCGAAACCAACCAATTATCCTTGACAATAAAACACACTACTTTAATATGTTACACCACACAAACAATGTGAATTAATTATGTTCTTTGCACAAACCTTTTATTTATGTTTTTCTACAAAGACAGTCTGTCAGGTGCTCTGAATGTGTGAGCTAATGGTGAATAGAGCAGGCAGCTTGTCACAGTCATTGGCTTGGTGAGTTCCCAGGTGGAGCATGTCTTTCCAGGTGAATTCAAATCAAAACCAGGTGCTGGGTCAACCGATGCATGTTTGGTTATTGGATTTGGAAAAACATTTTGACCTAAAGCATGGGTTGCACAAATAAAGAACCCAAGACCCAACTATCCTAAATATATCTCATAATAGGGAAAGAATTTCATAACCCAGCATTTGGATAGATAATATAACCCAATACTTTTAAGAGTGCAGGAAAATAACATAGTAGGCAACTGTAATCATGGATAACGTTTTCATTTCATATTTTTTGATATAATTAACTTCAGGATGTTTGAACATCCAATCACAGACCCGATTCAGTGGCGCATCAGATGCGTATAAAGTGAGCTTCTCAGGAGTGACAGCGGTGAC